TCATTCATACATATCAAGAATACCTTGAGACATATCATTTAAAGAAAGAAAATTAAAATATTTTTAATAATCATAAAAGTAATTCAAAACAGAAAAAATATTCGAATTTCGTGTAGGGAAATAATTATAGAGTGTATTGAAAATGATTAAGACTAGAATCCGTACCTTTATACGAAACAATGAGTTATGATATCCAATGTAGAAGCGTAAGTATTTTAAATAGTATTTAGGCTTTTTAAAAAGTTATATGAATGAAATTATTTAAATTGGTTTTAATTGACCAATTTATTTATGCTATAAATATGAAAGTAATTAAGTAACCATTTAATTCAATTGCATAAAATAAAGTATGACTTTATTTCAATTGTTTTAAAATTCCGAAAAAAAGCAAGCGAAAAAATTACGAAGCCTATTTATCAAAATTTAAAATCGATTTCAGACTAAACAATTTGTTACATGGATACTCACCAAAAAAATATGATGGAAAATGAAGAAAGAAGTTTATTGACAGATATCATGAAATACGACCTATTCCTTCAGATGCATATTACCACTGGAGAATTACTGATAGATTAATGAGGGTGTGTCACGAAAGACAAGGTGTCCGGCAGGTAATCAATTCCCGGACGTCGGACTGTCTGGAGTCAGGACTTTTTCCACTCGGCAAACGGTGATGACCAATACCTACCTGCTTCACGTCTCCTGCAGGCTTATCGTCAACAAACACACATAAGGGATCAAATAAGTCATTGGAGGATTTTGGTCATTCTGCCTTGCGTGCATTTCAATTATCGGTGCGTGGGTGGGTTAACGCCTACTACCCCGGCTTATTGATAATCCGTATCAGATTAAGTACACGAAAAGGGAGGGTCCCGTTAATTTCTTTAACAAACAATTCAGAAGGATAAGGTCTTCATGTAATACGGTAGGATGTTTTTTGGGCTAAGAGGGAATTAATCAAGTCCTGACCTGCCATATTTAACGAGAGTAATTTATACAAAAAGTGTTGCAAAGTCATAAAGCTACGGAGAAAAATGAGTAATCATTTATGTTTATGACGTTGAAGAAACTAATTTTTTTCCTCTTTTTATTTGCCTTTCTTTTTATTTCTTCCTAGTTAAATGGAAGTTACAAAAATGTTTTATTAGAAGTTGATAAAACTTTATCGAAACTTATTATTATAAAATTTAGTAAATTTTATTAAATATTAAGTTTGTACAAGATCTACAAGGACTTCTATAATTTACCGATGGGGCTAAATATATCCATACTCTCTGTAAGTCGAAAAAAGTACAGTGATAAACTAAAACTAACTTTGAATCTTACGGAATTTTGATCAAAGTGTCTGTTTACTAATTTTTTTTTAAATAAACAAAGATAAGTTTTCCTTGCTGAAAATAGTATTTTGTTCGAAGTAGGATATTAAAGTCCTAGTGAGTTCAAGGGAGGTGACGAATGCTTATTTTCCTTTTAGCAATTAGAAATTAATTATACCTAACTTTGCTTCGTTAAGGAATTTGTCTAGGCGCTAAAATATATTCTTTAGAATTCCAGCTAAGTTCCTCATGGTGATAAAATTGCTTCAGCTTACGATACAATACTTAGCTAATTCATCTAGTCTTATTTCTAAATTGTACTGATTTACACAAAATATAGGTAATTATATATTTCCAAAAAAGGCAGAAAAATCAAATTGGCATTATTTCTTGCAGGATTTATTTAATTGAAATAGTACTGTCGACGTAGAAATCTTTTCAATCGCGTACATTTTCTGGCTTACAATGCTCTCTTCAGTCTTTATTTTAGACCAGTTATTGCAAAACAGTGTTTTTTCTTAAATCTGAAGAAAACTTCTGGATGCTTATATGACTTTTATTAAGAAAGGTATATATATATATGGTGTTATGCATCATAATAT